GACCTGTAAAAAAGTTCAAAAATATGAAAATTTTGAAAATTTTTTTTTTGAATCAAAACAACCTGAAATACGTGAATTTATGTTCCGAACAACATGTGAAGCGTTTTTGACGAATTTCTAGCTCATAATTTGAAAAAAGTGAACAATGTCATTTTTTGAAAAAATTCATGACCTGAAACCTGTGGAGAATTTCAGAGATTTGAAAATTTTGTAAAAGATTAGTTAGTTAGATATAATCAATGTGATATGCATACCTTTCTTTTTTTACTTGACAGTTTTGTTTTGAGCTTCAATGTGTTATCTGAAACATTTCAAGCGTTTTCGATGAATTTTTAGCTCATATTTTGGAAAAATCGAACAAGGTCATTTTTTGAAAAAACTCATGACCCCAGACCTGTCAAAAGGTTCAAAAATCTGAAAATTTTGAAAACATTTGTTTTGACCCGAAACAACCTGAAATACGTAAAATTTTGTTCCAAACAACATTTCAAGCGTTTTCGATGAATTTTTAGCTCATATTTTGGAAAATGAAACGAGGTCATTTTTTGAAAAAACTCATGACCCCGGACCTGTAAAAAAGTTCAAAAACCTGAAAATTTTGAAAAAATTTGTTTTGACCAGAAACAACCTGAAAAACGTAAAATTTTGTTCCGAACAACATTTGAAGCGTTTTCGATGAATTTTTAGCTCATATTTTGGAAAATGGAACAAGGTCAGTTTTTGAAAAAACTCATGACCCCGGACCTGTAAAAATTTTCAAAAACCTGAAAATTTTGAAAAACATTTTATTGAGCCGAAACAAACTGAAATACGTGAAATTTTGTTCCGAACAACATTCAAAGTGTTTTCAATGAATTTCTAGCTTATATTTTGAAAAAATCGGACAACTCATTTTTTGAAAAAACTTATGACCCCGGACCTGTAAAGAAGTTCAAAAATATGAAAATTTTGAAAAATTTTTTTTTGACTCAAAACAACCTGAAATATGTGAATTTATGTTCCGAACAACATTTGAAGCGTTTTTGACGAATTTCTAGCTCATAATTTGAAAAAATTGAACAATGTCATTATTTGAAAAAATTCATGACGTGAAACCTGTGGAGAATTTCAGAGATTTGAAAATTTTGAAAAAGATTAGTTAGTTAGATATAATCAATGTGATATGCATACCTTTCTTTTTTTACTTGACAGTTTTGTTTTGAGCTTCAATGTGTTATCTGAAAAAAATGAAACGGATGATGAATTTCTAGCTCATATTTTGGAAAAATCGAACAAGGTCATTTTTTGAAAAAACACATGACCCCAGACCTGTCAAAAGGTTCAAAAATCTGAAAATTTTGAAAACATTTGTTTTGACCCGAAACAACCTGAAATACGTAAAATTTTGTTCCAAACAACATTTCAAGCGTTTTCGATGAATTTTTAGCTCATATTTTGGAAAATGGAACAAGGTCATTTTTTGAAAAAACTTATGACCCCGGACCTGTAAAAAAGTTCAAAAACCTGAAAATTTTGAAAAAATTTGTTTTGACCCGAAACAACCTGAAAAACGTAAAATTTTGTTCCGAACAACATTTCAAGCGTTTTCGATGAATTTCTAGCTTATATTTTGGAAAAATCGAACAAGTCATTTTTTGAAAAAACTCATGACCCCGGACCTGTAAAAAAGTTCAAAAATATGAAAATTTTGAAAAAAAATTTTTTGACTCGAAACAACCTGAAATACGTGAATTTATGTTCCGAACAACATTTGAAGCGTTTTTGACAAATTTCTAGCTCATATTTTGGAAAAATCGAACAAGGTCATTTTTTGAAAAAACTCATGACCCCGGACCTGTAAAAAAGTTCAAAAATCTGAAAATTTTAAAAAATTTGTTTTGCCCCGAAACAACCTGAAATACGTAAAATTTTGTTCCGAACAACATTTCAAGCGTTTTCGATGAATTTTTAGCTCATATTTTGGAAAATGAAACGAGGTCATTTTTTGAAAAAACTCATGACCCCGGACCTGTAAAAAAGTTCAAAAACCTGAAAATTTTGAAACAATTTGTTTTGACCCAAAACAACCTGAAAAACGTTAAAATTTTGTTCCGAACAACATTTCAAGCGTTTTTGATGAATTTTTAGCTCATATTTTGGAAAATGGAACATGGTCAGTTTTTGAAAAAACTCATGACCCCGGACCTGTAAAAATTTTCAAAAACCTGAAAATTTTGAAAAACATTTTATTGAGCCGAAACAAACTGAAATACGTGAAATTTTGTTCCGAACAACATTCGAAGTGTTTTCGATGAATTTCTAGCTTATATTTTTGAAATTTCTAGCTCATATTTTGGAAAAATCGAACAAGGTCATTTTTTGAAAAAACTCATGACCCCGGACCTGTAAAAAAGTTCAAAAATCTGAAAATTTTGAAAAAATTTTTTTGACCCGAAACAACCTGAAATACGTAAAATTTTGTTCCGAACAACATTTCAAGCGTTTTCGATGAATTTTTAGCTCATATTTTGGAAAATAAAACGAGGTCATTTTTTGAAAAAACTCATGACCCCGGACCTGTAAAAAAGTTCAAAAACCTGAAAATTTTGAAACAATTTGTTTTGACCCAAAACAACCTGAAAAACGTTAAAATTTTGTTCCGAACAACATTTCAAGCGTTTTTGATGAATTTTTAGCTCATATTTTGGAAAATGGAACATGGTCAGTTTTTGAAAAAACTCATGACCCCGGACCTGTAAAAATTTTCAAAAACCTGAAAATTTTGAAAAACATTTTATTGAGCCGAAACAAACTGAAATACGTGAAATTTTGTTCCGAACAACATTCGAAGTGTTTTCGATGAATTTCTAGCTTATATTTTAAAAAAATCGGACAAGTCATTTTTTGAAAAAACTCATGACCCCAGACCTGTAAAAATGTTCAAAAATATGAAAATTTTGAAAAACATTTTTTTGACTCGAAACAACCTGAAATACGTGAATTTATGTTCTGAACAACATTCGAAGTGTTTTCAATGAATTTCTAGCTTATATTTTGAAAAAATCGGACAAGTCATTTTTTGAAAAAACTCATGACCCCGGACCTGTAAAAAAGTTCAAAAATATGAAAATTTTGAAAAAAATTTTTTGACTCGAAACAACCTGAAATACGTGAATTTATGTTCCGAACAACATTTGAAGCGTTTTTGACAAATTTCTAGCTCATATTTTGCAAAAATCGAACAAGGTCATTTTTTGAAAAAACTCATGACCCCGGACCTGTAAAAAAGTTCAAAAATCTGAAAAATTTGAAAAAATTTGTTTTGCCCCGAAACAACCTGAAATACGTAAAATTTTGTTCCGAACAACATTTCAAGCGTTTTCGATGAATTTTTAGCTCATATTTTGGAAAAATCGAACAAGGTCATTTTTTGAAAAAACTCATGACCCCAGACCTGTCAAAAGGTTCAAAAATCTGAAAATTTTGAAAACATTTGTTTTGACCCGAAACAACCTGAAATACGTAAAATTTTGTTCCAAACAACATTTCAAGCGTTTTCGATGAATTTTTAGCTCATATTTTGGAAAATGGAACAAGGTCATTTTTTGAAAAAACTCATGACCCCGGACCTGTAAAAAAGTTCAAAAACCTGAAAATTTTGAAAAAATTTGTTTTGACCAGAAACAACCTGAAAAACGTAAAATTTTGTTCCGAACAACATTTGAAGCGTTTTCGATGAATTTTTAGCTCATATTTTGGAAAATGGAACAAGGTCAGTTTTTGAAAAAACTCATGACCCCGGACCTGTAAAAATTTTCAAAAACCTGAAAATTTTGAAAAACATTTTATTGAGCCGAAACAAACTGAAATACGTGAAATTTTGTTCCGAACAACATTCGAAGTGTTTTCAATGAATTTCTAGCTTATATTTTGAAAAAATCGGACAACTCATTTTTTGAAAAAACTTATGACCCCGGACCTGTAAAGAAGTTCAAAAATATGAAAATTTTGAAAAATTTTTTTTTGACTCAAAACAACCTGAAATATGTGAATTTATGTTCCGAACAACATTTGAAGCGTTTTTGACGAATTTCTAGCTCATAATTTGAAAAAATTGAACAATGTCATTATTTGAAAAAATTCATGACGTGAAACCTGTGGAGAATTTCAGAGATTTGAAAATTTTGAAAAAGATTAGTTAGTTAGATATAATCAATGTGATATGCATACCTTTCTTTTTTTACTTGACAGTTTTGTTTTGAGCTTCAATGTGTTATCTGAAAAAAATGAAACGGATGATGAATTTCTAGCTCATATTTTGGAAAAATCGAACAAGGTCATTTTTTGAAAAAACTCATGACCCCGGACCTGTAAAAAAGTTCAAAAATCTGAAAATTTTGAAAACATTTGTTTTGACCCGAAACAACCTGAAATACGTAAAATTTTGTTCAGAACAACATTTCAAGAATTTTCGATGAATTTTTAGCTCATATTTTGGAAAATGGAACAAGGTCATTTTTTGAAAAATTCATGACCCAGGACCTGTAAAAAAGTTCAAAAACCTGAAAATTTTGAAAAAATTTGTTTTGACTCGAAACAACCTGAAATACGTGAATTTACGTTCCGAACAACATTTGAAGCGCTTTCGACGAATTTCTAGCTTATATTTTGGAAAAATGGAACAAGTCATTTTTTGAAAACTCATGACCCTGGACCTGTAAAAAAGTTCAAAAATCTGAAAATTTTTAAAAAATTTGTTTTGACTCGAAACAACCTGAAATACGTGAATTTATGTTCCGAACAACATTTGAAGTGCTTTCGATGAATTTCTAGCTTATATTTTGGAAAAATCGAACAAGTCATTTTCTGAAAAATCTCATGACCCCCGGACCTGTAAAAAAGTTCAAAAATCTCAAAATTTTGAAAAAATTTTTTTTTCACTCGAAACAACCTGAAATACGTGAATTTATGTTCCGAACAACATTCGAAGTGTTTTCCATGAATTTCTAGCTTATATTTTGAAAAAATCGGACAAGTCATTTTTTGAAAAATCTCATGACCCCGAACCTGTAAGAAAGTTCAAAAATCTGAAAATTTTGAAAAATTTTTTTTGACCCGAAACAACCTGAAATACGTGAATTTATGTTCCGAACAACATTTGAAGTGCTTTCAATGAATTTCTAGCTTATATTTTGGAAAAATCGAACAAGTCATTTTTTGAAAAAACTCATGACCCCGGACCTGTAAAAAAGCTCAAAAATCTGAAAATTTTGAAAAAAATTTTTTTGACTCGAAACAACCTGAAATACGTGAATTTGCGTTTCTAACAACATTGGAAGTGTTTTCGATGAATTTCTAGCTCATAATTTGAAAAAATTGAACAATGTCATTTTTTAAAAAAACTCATGACCTGAAACCTGTAGAGAATTTCAGAGATTTGAAAATTTTGAAAAAGATTAGTTAGTTAGATATAATCAATGTGATATACTTACCTTTCTTTTTTTACTTGACAGTTTTGTTTTGCGCTTCAATGTGTTATCTGAAAAAAATGAAACGGATGATGAATTTCTAGCTCATATTTTGGAAAAATCGAACGAGG